GCATGCATGGCGGTGCCGGACTGCGCGCTTGCGTGCGTGCACGCTCGACCCTCTCTAATCGTGAATCGCCGGCAAGTCGGGTCATTGGGGTGGGGATGGTTTACCCACATAAGTGATAGCGGCAGGGGTTACGCGATATCAGGTGAGATCTCAGCGTCTTGAGCAGACGATACCAGTCACTTCCTAACCGTCACATCCCTCACAACGCCCACCGCGACCGGCTTTGCACGCTTCATTGTCGCTCCTTTGTGCAATTTTCTCGCCCTGCGCCACTTCATCGTCCAGCACTCGCACTGACGTCATTCCAAGCAACGATCCTATTGCCCGACCCTGTTATACGAGACACACGCGACCGAGCAAGCACCTTTGTCAGAAATTCGCCCTCGTCAGATCCGAATAGCGCCCCCTTGCAACTCCCTATAGAGGCCACATCACTCTTAAAGATGGCCTTCATCGCACAGAAGGGCGCCGCCAGCAGAGGCAACAGACGCCAAACGCAGCATGCGGAGGAGGTCACCCCAGTAGGCAGCTTTTCAGAATCATTTCGTGTCTCCTCACTAGCTGCTCATCGACAGAATAAGAATAGCGCTCGCGATGCGAAAGCGGGCAAGACTCAGAATGCGGCGCAGGATGCTTCTACTTCGACGCCGGATTGGAGCATCATCTTTCCTGGTCGGAGCTCAGCTGCTGCGCCCACACTCAGTCATAGTTCAGCAAGTGCTCATGTAGCTGCTACAACCGATTCTCGAGCTGCTACGGCTGGTGATGGCTTGGACGAGAAAGCTGGTGAGTGTGCATCAACACCATTCCAAGCTTGTGTGCACTGCGCTCGTATGCTGATCATCTATCGCCATCCTGCGTTGTTGCCCGAAGTAGATGTCTCCATCCTTGCCGACGAGCAGCCTCGTTCTCTAGACGAGAATGTCGAAGCAGGAACCAGCGGTCTGACTCTCACAATGCCTGCTTGGCATGAAGACACTGGACGGTTCCTCAGCAGGCGCACAATCGCTCCTGCTTTCGACGCAGACGATGAGGCGGACTTGGAAGACGAGCCAGACTTGGACATAAGTGCAGCGCAATCCGGTGCGGCACGTGCTGCTCGATCGGAACAGTGGATGCTCGAATCTCTAGACTCCCCGTCCATCTTTGGCTCGGAACATCCCAGCACCTTTGTGGAAGAGAGCCGAGCCGAGCTGCATGGCTCGATAGTGCTGCCATCCGAGTCCTCAGCTTCCAATGTGGCACATGATAGTGGGGACAAGTCAGCAGCAGATTCAAGAATAGAGGGTGACGGCTACGCATCAGACCTACACTTCCCTGAAGTTCCAGACAGGTCTGCTCCAGGCAAAAGCGCACCACGCGGTGCTAGTCAGGAAGCGGTGTGGTCATGGGCATCAGTTCAGCGGGGAGGATCCCTCCTCCGTGCAGCTTCCGAGACGCATTTGACGTCTTCGGAGGGTGAGGTGGACGATTTACCCGACATGACAGCATCGCAGCTTCAGCTCAAGCGAGACAACGATGCCAGCGACGCTCATTTCGATGCGCTCCTGGACGCAACACCAGCAGCACAAAGTGCAGGGATAGGATCAAAGCCGATCAAACGGCGTCACAGGAAAGCCGGGGGCAGCGAGAGGTCTAAACGGAGCGCCACGGAAACGAGCAGAAGTGCTAGCGTGGCACGGATGCGGGACGCTCGGCCGCGCAGACCAGCTACGCGGCGAAATGCGTCAAGCCGTCGCGCCGCTCATGCAACCTCAGTAAAGCACACCGAAGCCGCCTCACAGAGCGTTGGCAAGCGATTGCTCCGCAAAGTCTTCAGTCGTTTGTTCAGTGCAGACGCGGAGCTGCTGGATGCCTTGTTGAACGACAGCGGTCCTTTGGCGGTCGACCAGGGAGAGGTCGAGCAGTTCGAAAACTTGCGCATGTCGAGTCGCTATGCTAGAGGCACGGATCGTCAGGCATTCGAGCTTGATCTCGAGTCTTTGCCACGAAGGCCACCCAGAATGCGCATGCTTCTCGACGGGCGTGAGGTTGAAGATCTGACAGGGGAGGAGGATGAAGGGGATGGCGAGGAAGAAGGCAAGGCTGCTGACCCGTCTGCCAGCGAGCACCCGGTCTTCCCACAGCGACCCTTGGCCCAATCAAGCGCTGCGCTCGCTACAGCATTGGAGCTTGCAAGACGACGAAGGTCCTCCTCTGTAGCTTCTGGATGTCCGCTGTCTCCAGAGCCCGAACCCACCACCCTGGAAGCTTTGCAAGCTGCGCTGATCCACAATGGCATTCTGCGCGTCCCAACGCCCCTTCGGATCCTCGGCGAATTAGCCCGAGCTCTTCAAGATGCAGTTTGGGGAGAGGCTGTCGTGAATGACAGCCTGTCCAACGTGGATACTCGAGAACTTGAAGAAGCGCTCAAGCAGCGCAAAGGCTCTACCTTGCTGCATGATTCTGAGGACGAGCAAGATGGCGATGTGGCGCACTATGCACACGACCGGACAGGCTCAGACCGTGCGCTGGCAGGGCATTCGGGCACTCGGTTGTCGGCGCGCAGACTGAGCTTGGGAAATGGTCTTCAGACCGTACCTCGAGCTTGGAATGGCAATGTACACCCCAGCCTTCGAGGGCGCTCCACGTTCGCGATAGAGCAAGGAGCTCCTGCCATTGAAGGCTGAGTGCTTCGCCAACGTCATCCAATCAACATCGATGTGCTTAGCTCAACACCGGACGTGACATCGATGCTCTTCACTGTCTTACCTTGCGACCCATCAACGCAGACTGTATTCATTTCGTGGCCAGCTACATCGTGATCCAATACGAGACTTGCCTGTAGGTGAGGTCTCGAGCGCTGCCTATGTAGTAGCATAGTCTTCACTCCATTACAGGGATTCTTTTGATATCCTTCATTCACGATGGCCGTGACGATGGCACTTGACGCCGATCATGGTATAGCGCCCTATGCGAGTGAAATGGGGCAATCACAAGTTTTGTGCGCTTTATGCCGGCCTCGTACCCTTATCCCTAAAGCTCGGGCTGGTCTCGCCTCTTTGGACTCGGCTTGCGCACGGACGCAGTGAGCTCGATGAAGCCGCGACATGGTGCTTTTTTTCATCGACGATGTCTCGACAAGCACGGTGCAAAAGCAGAAAGTCGAGTCAACGTTGCATACTCTTTCAAGAAACGTCGGCAAGCCTCCGATCGCGACCTGCCAACGGTAAAGCTGTATCGGGAGCAGCTGCCTCCAACCTTGGGCCGCTGGCGTCCTATCGTTGCCTTTGCTGCACGGCACAGCCTCCATGATGTTGAATCTAATCGTGAACCGATTGTGTCGGCGTGCTCGGGTGCCCTCATGTCGATTGCGTCGGGGCTCGCGGGGACGTTCTTTGGCGAGGGTGTTGGTCATATTGATTGCACGGCGTTGATCGCAATGGACAGCCCCGTACAGCGTCACTTAAGGCACCGCACGCTTCCGTAACGACACGCTGCGGTGAAATCAGACAGTCGAATGAAGCCTTCGGCTCTGAGAGAGCTGACCTTTGACGCTTCTTGCGATACGCCGTTGGCCAAATACATGGCGTCATTCAAGGAGGCGGCGGCCCGACAAAACGCCATCCGGTTGTGCCGCCATCAATCGCGAATGTCGTTCTGAGCTTCGACCAGCAAGAGCCAATGACTCTAGCGATACATCTCCTTATCTCGACGGCGTTCCTGACGATCGGTGAAGAACCGAGGTGCACTGCTGCCGGGATATGGACGACTGAGCAGCCAGATAGAGGGCGCACCCTACGAGATACTTCGAAACTGCGCGCTGTGACGCCGATGCACGCCAACGCGCCGTTCTGTCTACCATATCGTAGCTTCAGCTACGGAAAAGGCTTAAACAGAGCCCGGCGCTCCCCTCCAAGAACGTGATCTCCTCTCCTTACTTCTCGAACCGACCTGATCACGCACAAACAGCGCAACAAAATCGCCTCTAACTCTCTGAAAGAGAGCGTCTACTGCCTTTGCGCCAAGTCAAGATCCACAACAAGAAACAAGACGCCATGAAGGTCTACGCGCAAATCCTGCTTTTCGCTCTGCTGGCAACCAGCCTCTGCGCGCTGCCCACGCCAGCTCCTGATGGGACTCCAGAAAGCTCGGATTTGGCTAAACGAGCTCCTTACAAGATGAGGCCTGGCGGTGAGCAGAAGTGCTGGATCCAGCTCTTCGTGTGCAAAGACTGGGCCTCGTATTCTGACCGAAGCGTTCACCCTCCCTACTTATAGACACGATCACTTACGATAAGACAAAAGGCAAGCTAGTCATTCACCACAGTGAGTGAGCGAGCCCATGTGTGATCCTGTGTTCCGCCAACTATCCAGGCTATCATCTGACGCAACGAGCTTCCGTCATCTTGCCCTCTGAACGTTTGTACAGAAGCTTGCCTCGGAGACATCATACCACTGAAGAAACGTGGCCATGGTAAGTGGCAACGTGACGCTGCTAACTTTATGAGATTCGCACATGATGGCCGAGTGCCTAGTCAGCAAAGAGTGCACGTGGACCTTGCGCCTTACCAGATGCATTTTTCTGCCCACAGCCAACGACTTCGCTTACTGCTGATCGCAGTCTTCTTCGGCGCTCGACCAAAAGGGTCTTTCCACCAGTGGGAAAAGAACTTTTCAACGCCTCTCGTGGAGCTAGGATCCATCCTAGCCCCTCCCAGGCCACTTAAACGCCGTCATCATGCTCATGCTTTCAGGCGGTGCGTCGCATGGCTTACTTGCAAGGCAACCGATGACATTCTTCCGCTCATCTGCGCGTGTGCTGTTGAAATCGAGTCCACTCCTCGTGAATTTGCCATGACGTCTGACCCCGCTAGAGATTGCTGTTGTTGAAAGTCGCGGATCACACGCCTGAAGTGGGCAAGTTTGGCAGAACTGGGCTTCACTGACTCTCTGAGACCCCGCCCGGATGCTCCCAGGGCTTTGGAGGCTGTTTGAGTTGGGATTCAGAAGGTGTGGCCTGGTTGATCTGTACACAAAGATCCCAGCGTAAGCAAGATTGCGAGGTACACGAGCGAATGGTGACCAAGAGACGGTCCTAGCCCCACGACTCACTTGGAGAGGTATGTCTTTGATGCCTGGAATTTTGTCAGCTTGGCCTGTGCTTATGAGTTCTACAATGGCGTCAAAGCTGGCAGGATGCTGAGGTGCTTGCTGTTCCCTGGCCAGGTCCACGCTGCCTAGCGTCAAGGTTGAGATGCCGCTCGTCGCCTCGGCGAGTGCTGGCTGCTCCAAATTCAATACTCGGGCGCATAGGCCCGCCACTTCTGTGATCAGCTCAGCTTGAGCGGGTGCAGCGTCCACTTTGTGATTTGCCCCTTGCAAGACCTTTGCCTTGAAGCGCGAATCCTTGACGATGCGATTCCATTTGTCTACGATGACTGATGCTGGGTAGGGGTCGAGCATGTACTCGCTATTACGTCACGAGCGCCGTCAAGACCCTTCGTCGGCATACAGCTCGCGTCAACGGCGTTCAGCAGAATACTCACTCTTCAGAGCCGCACAAAGCCAGCAATTCAGGGTCACCGGGAGCGATGATGCCTTCGGGAGAAGCCCAATCTTTGGCAAGCCCATCCAAAGCGCTCTTGAAGATGTTTATCACGTCCTTCTCCTCAAAGTCTCCACTGAACAAGTCATCGTCTCCTCCTTTGCCGTTGAGTGACCAGTACCGGTAGGCGGTCTGAGGAGGTTCCAGGATGGCCGACTCATTGGTGCCTCGAGGTTCGCCCGAGTGTCTGTTCACCGCTCTAGCAGGCCTGGGCGCCAAAGGAGCTTTGTAAGACAGTAGTGTGCTGCCTTTGCCCGCCTGTACAAGATTTGTAGCTTCTTTGAGATTCTCTACTTCCTCCGCACCTGCCGTCTTGTCGAAGTACAGCCTGTCGGAACAGGGGGCTTGGATGACGGCTCCTTGCACCTTGGCATCCGCTCCCCGGTCCCCGAGGAGGTATGTAATGACATCCTGACAGCCCGTGCTGTGTCCCAACAAGAAGATTGCCTTTTTCTTACTTGCTGCTCTAAGCTGATCAACAACTGCCGCAATCTCCCTCGCATCAGCTTCCAGACTTCCGTAATTGAATCCTCCAAGGTTGCTAGACAGTTGAGGAAGCACGACGGATATTCCCAGCTTGCTCAGCGCTTCGACTAGCCCTTCTGTATACGGTAGACTTCCGATTGTATCGGTCAAGCCCGGTATGAGAATGATGGAATGCGTCGCATCAGGATCCGAGTCGAGCAGCGTCAGCTTTGGAGATCCGTACGTGCTCAGAGACCATCTAACTTGGTGCGAATGGCCCGCCGGAGTGGACTCGCTAGATCCGAACGACATCCTTCTGAATTTTGGAAGAGCTCCTGCACACGGCTTGAACGCAGAGTCTGCGGAGGAGTCACGAGTGTCAAGGATGGTCAGGTCAGCCCAGATGAGGAAAGAGGTAGCGTTGTATGCTACCTACACCACTGTGACTGATGGTGTCGTCGGTTGGCGGAAGACGCAACGGCAAAATCGCGCGCCATGCGCTTCACGCGCATGGGTAATGACGCTCGGACCACACATAATGGCGCGCGTCCGACGCCGCTCAGATCAGTCGAGCAATCGAACCACGCACATCGAAGGTCAGCTCGTGATCGAGAAACATAAGTGTGGACGGCTACTTGTCATTTCGAACAAGCAGTCGGTAGATATTTACTATCGGTGACAATTTGGGGTAGTAATAGTGGGCTCGGAAAGGCAGCGAACGTTGAAGTGAATACAAGATGAGTTGTTCAGCTAGCGATCGAATCTTTGAAAGAGTGTTGATTGTTGGGACCTGTCCGAGGTGATGAGACCTTGGAGCGTCCGCGACCAGCAAGGACCATCGCCCGACATCATGAGTCGAGAAGCAACTGCAGTAACACAGGCCGAGGGAGGAACGTCGTGGACGCTCAAAAAGAGTGAGTAGTTGATGCGGGGTCGCCAAGCGCACGACCGCTGGGTATAGGTACAGAAGTGCCATTCATATCTGGAGTAGCTACCAACTGAAGGGCAGAGCAGCTCTAGCAGTCCAGACTTTCTATGACGTTGTCGCTGGATACGCGATCCAGCTTCGGCCTCAGACCGCTCAATTTTTGCACAGCGCTCCGTGGCTCGTGCTCCCCACTTCCGCTCGAACGCAATGCCTCGAAGTCAGCAGAGGGACGTGCTGCGGCCGCTGCCAAGCGCTCAAATTGCTCGGCAATGGCTGACTTCTGCTGTTCTGGCTCGTCGGAAAGCGCGCATCTGGTAGCGACGTCCTGCGCCTGACCTCGAAGATCGCTGTTAGACTGCGACTCGAGCGGAATGCGCTGAAAGCGTCCGCTAGTGCTCGAGCCGTGCTTGCCATGTCCTGTCAAAGGCCGCGGCATTTCGTCTGGTCGGCCATGACTCGTTGTTGGCCTGCCGTCGTTCCGACTGACAGTGGAATCAGCTGTGCCAATGCGCGGTTGGCCGAAAGCTGAGAGCGGTCCTCCTCGCGAGGTTCGAGGACGATCATCATCCGTTTCCGCGCTGCTCTGAGTGCGTTGCTTGCTCTCCTCTCTAGTATGGGGTCTCGAGATTTCGCGGGAGAGCTCAGCTGCATCGTCGTCAATAGTCTGTCTGAAGGCAAATAGCGCATCGTGCACTTCAGTGGAAGTCGGCGGCGCCGGCGCCGGCGTCGTCGTCGCCGTTCCTGCTTCAACGCCAAACAGTGCAGATCGCTCGCGTCGGCGCTCATTTGAACTTGACGAGACTGCCGGAACATCCCGCACGAAAGCCGGCCCATCTGCGAACGTTGCAATGTTTCGCCTAGTAGTGCTCTCGGGCGATGCGCCGAAAGTGATCATAGAGGGCGGCGCCGAGCCTAGACCAGCATCCTCGTAGCGTGACCTATCGTCGAGAGAGGCAGCAGCTTTAAGGGCATCGAGATCGTAGGCTGATCGGTCTCTCGGCGTCGAAATCCGGCCGGCGCCCAGAATCGAGGGCGACGCGACGAAGTCCCTGCCTGACTCTGTGCGGGGGGGACGCAAGGGAAATTCAGCCAACTCGTGGTCATTGGCCACAAAGTTACCGCGTCGAGCTCGCGCAGAGTCGATGAAAAGAATGCTCCTCTTCGGTCTCTGGTTCAGATCGTCTCTTTGCGAAGGCGCTGTGGCGGGTCGGCGGCGGCGACCTGGGGTCGCAGCGAGAGGCGGCACGGCAACCGACTCTCTTGTGGCTAGTGCATCGCGAAGCACCTCGGGACCAGCACTCGCCCTGCCGACGGAAGGCTGCACTTGTCGAGTGATTTCAAAGATACTGGGCGCAGCTGAAGGCGTGTGTGCGACCTGGTTGCGAGACGACGATGATCGTGAAGACGAGGTGTGGCTCGTGACAGGACGTCTCGGGACTTCGTATATGGACTGGGACGTGTCTGTACTCCGCCGACCGCTGGACACTGCCCGAACTTCATGCGCAGAGCCTCCAGTCTTCCACCAGCCGGCATAGTTGCTCGGCCCCACGGGCCACTTTGTAGCATCCTCAATCGTCTGTCGAGAGACTTTCGCTGATCTGGACGGCCGCAGCGTCGCTGGCAGTGTTTGGCGACGATGCGCGCTGAGGAGCGTGCCATCCATCGGCACAAAGATGGACACATCATCAGGCTCATCTCCTGACGACCTTCTCTCTCTGGCGTGCCTAGCTGCGTACCGCTGCGCTGCAGAAGTGGTGCCAATAGAAGTGTACGAGTCTTTGGGCAGGAGCAAAGACCGAGTGGAACCCGTCTTGGGAAACTCTCCCTCGACGTACAGATCTTCGTCAGCGAGTGCGGCGGCTGTCAAAGCTGCTTTGCTGCTTTTGCGCCTCGCAACATTGGAGATGGGCGCGTCGCCGATGCCTGATCCCATCGCTGCACCTGGTGGAAGGCTTGAGCTCTCTACGGCGGATGGTCGGATCAGAGAGGGAGACATGGCACCACCGGCTGCCAGTGCCACTTCATCGAACTTAAAGCTGACGTCGTCTTCCAGATAGCGAGCAGAGTAGCTTGGCGGACTCGGCTGGGCGATCTGCCTGGCGATAGCCCTTTGTTGCTGGCGTGTCAAGAACCAAGCGCGGCGGAACAGCCGACCGGCCATGATGGCGCTTATGGCCTGGCATGCAACAATCTGCATCAGCCGAAAAGCGACCTGTTCGGTGGCGTAGTAGACTGCAACCGCGCTAATGAGTATGACGAACTGAATGGAAAAGAATGCCACGGTGCGCTCCACTAGCATGACTGCCACCGAGTCCTCTGAGGGTTCTGGTTCGCCGTACGCTTCCTCTTGCTTCCTCCTGGATGATAGCCACATCCCAGGCAACAATCCTCGCAGCAATCCCCGCCAGCCGGTACGATTGAGTCGCAGCACGGTCAGAAAAAGGCACAGGCTGTCGAAGACGAAGACGCATGCCACCACGCCGAGCGCCGTGATGTGAGACACGTCGAGCGTACACCACTCGCCCCCGAGCTGGACACCGTTCAAATTGATCGGAAGCGTGACGCTGAGTGCCAGCACTGCGATCCAAGAGATGGTGAGGGGGATCACTACGATGGGCTTGAGCCGCCAAATCGCCGCCGTGCGCAAAAGGAAGACGAGCGTGGCTACAAAGAAACGCGCAAGTCAGTCAGTGTGACGTTCCAGGCTGTCTACTTTCGCGTGGATACGTACTAGCAGCCAGACCCAAGGCGAAAAGGGTCGCACTAGTGATAGCTCTGATGTGGCAGTCGTTGCTGCGAACAATGGGAGTCGTCACGGCCATGCAAATCCAGGCTACGTTCAAGTACCTGCTGAGCATATAGGCGACTGACAACAGGACGAAGAGCGGGCTCAGCTCGAGCCCCTCGTGCGCGCCGGGGATAGCGCATACACTCACTGGAATGAATGCCTGACGGTATTGACCTCCAATTTGTGTTCCGCACAAGCATGAGATCGAACCCCAGCGTGCTGACGACATCCCAGCCTAGAGCTCCTAGCCATAATGAGAAGTACACCAACCTGCAAGGGGATGATGGTCAGCATGCTGCTTTTGGCTTAACAGACCGATCGGAATAAGAGCTCAAAGTCGGCCAGATGTTCGACCTTTCAGACGCCTCTTCCAGCGATGGTCGCCTTCTTGGAGTCCCACATGCTGACCTCGCCGATGCACTCACCCTGCGACAATAGCCTGACTTTCCGCTGGGGACACGTGGAGAAAGACTGAATCGTCGCTAGGGTTGATGCTGGTGACGATGCCAGTCGCATTAGAGCTGCCGACCTGCCGAACCGCAAGGGCGGCCAGGTCCACTGCCTGACCGCCAGCCCGCATCGTTGAGGACAAGCTGAACGTTGGAGGCAAGTCGATGAGGCGACGACAGGGTGAACACTTAGGTAGGGAGGGAGCAAGTCAAGAGACCATTAGGTGCCGCTGATTTGCGAGGGCAGGCAGTGCGGAGTCGAGTGGGTGGCGGTACTGAGATCGGCACAATCACCTCATAGCTGATGAGTGAGATGTCAAGGCTGTCTGTGATAGCGAGCGTCGACTTGAGAAACGTGGGAAGGTGGCGCAGCGGGGTAGGTACGTAGCAGGCGATAGGCAGGCTGTCCCAAGGTGGACGATTGTGAGATTGATGGTGGAACGAGAGGGCGCTAATACCCAGCGAGGGCAATGGAGAGGCGCGTAATTTGATGAGCGGCGTGTCTAAGTGCTTGACTGCACCACGGATACTATGGTCCAGCGAACCCGCTTCGCAAGACTGCGGACGCGATCAGAAAGGTGATTGATTACGTTGTCGAAATGAAGCTCTGCAGAGGTATCGGTAAGCTCATGCCGGTGTCACGGGAGTCGAGCAGGTGTGGTGATCGAGAATTGGTGGTCGCCAAAGTGCTTGAGTCGGAGGGTGTGCGGCAGGAGGAGGGTCCACGTTTGTGGTAATCTGGACTCAAGACTGCAAAGACACGCGCCTTCTGCAGCCCAGCGGTAATGATCGGGGTGGGATGGAGCAAGCTTTACCAAAGTGCAGGCGACATGCGATTCATGATTCTCATCAGCTTTGATACACAGTCCTCGTGTGAGTCAAAAACGCTGGAGCGCTTTGGAAGCCGGCTTAGTGGCGACATCACGGGTTGGATGGGAGTGGACAAGGTCATGCTGCGCTAAGGCGATGTCAGAATCGACGCATGAGACGAGCAGCAGAGGTGGGAGCGGACCTTTACCGATACCAACGCCCTTCACAGACTCGTCATCCGAGCACGCATGCAGCAAAGCAATTCATCCGGGCGCGGGCCACAAATGATGAAAATAATGTGCAAAGCGAGCTGATGAAGCGATATACATGTGGTATATGAAGAGCGGACGCCTTGCGGACAGCTATGTATACATACCGTACTGTACCTGTAGAATGAGGCAAGGCCAAGACGCAGCCGAAAGAGTGGCGCCGAGTCGTTAGCGTCGTTCGGTCTTGCCCAACGCGCTAAAATGCTACCTAAGTGCCGCGGGGACGGTGACCACGCGCTCACTGCACTCGTGATAGACTAGCTGAGCTCAGCTGTTAGCAGGCAGAGTGCCGTTGAAAGCACAGCTGCAAAGCCTGTTGTAGCTCGATGGCTTGATCCGGCAGTTCCCATACACAAAAGTTGCTTTCCATAGAGTCGTGATCAGATCTGGCTCCAACGAAGGTATTCGAGAGTCGGACACTGTGTACGAGATGTAGATCGAAGATGGCTGCATGCAACCGACCTGCTCCGCGACTGGTTAATCTTGGGGCGCGGGAAGTAAGACACTTGCTGGAACACAGCTGACACAGATGCGTTCACATTTTCATGCTACGCAAAAAGTGCGGTCGAGCGAGCGTGCGGACAAGAACCATATATTGCATGCACGTCCGATATAAAATGCTTCTCATGAAGAGCAAGAGCGAGCTGCAACGGAGATCAGCAGCTTGCATGCTTGCCACTTAGCATCCCGTCGGTGTCTAGCTTCGCTGCGAATAGTCACGAAAATTACCCAGTGAACGGTATCGCTCGATCATGGTCAGAAGCCGACAGGACGCAGACTAGATGGTGGTGGTCTTTGCGAGCTGGATTCCAAATATGGATCAGAGGAAGTCACTAGTCTAGCCCGTAAGCGTTGGCGTGCTGCGTGTAACGCCGAGCTGGACGTCCGAAGTGCGCTTCTGCTCAATCAGACGCTTCCAAGACTCACCCGTTGCATATATAGGTCTGTCACAGTTGCTAGTCCTGAGTCGTGAGTGCATCATTTTCGAGGCCAAAAGCAACAGACGTTGACCCTGCAGCCCTCCTCAATTCACGACTCCTGCACCTCGAGCACAATTTTAGCGTGCGCTTGTGATCCCGCGTCGTCGTCGAATCTCCGCGCGCAGCAGCAGCAGCGGAGGAGCATCGACTAGCTATATAGTCCGACCGGCCGGCCGGGTAGTCATCAGCGCGGCGACCAAGCTAAATATAAGTCCGTCGCGTTTTCTTGCAGCCAACAGCATCAGCCGCTTTGACACCGCTGAGAGCGAAGCGACCTTCACTTTGTCTCACAGACATCGTCGGCAGTCACGAGTGTGAGTACTGCTCGCTCCGGCCTAGCTCTGATTGATGCGCATACACACTACTCTGTGTGCGTAGTTCAACCAATCTCGAATGCAGAGCCATCCATCTACGTATGGTTGAGACCAGCACGCTCTCAAGACTTGCGCCAGGTGCGGTGCTGCATGATGGCTTGCTTGACTTTGCGCTGACGGTCAGCTTTGGTGATCATCACAGCTATCTCACCAGCACCTTCATGTCAGGCATGTTGCACGCGTAGAACAATCAGACAATCACGAATGTCGAAGTCGTGACTCTCACTCAACTTTGGTTCAATCTGCATCTCACCACGCATACATCTCGCTTGTCTCGACTTACTTGAGGCAACATAACAGCCGTCGTGTTCCGACCGTGTGAGCCAGCTGGGATGGTGATGCAATCACTCACCCTTGATCGAGGCTGGCAAGCATCACGATGACCCCTCCTCTTTGCGCACGGCAGCTAATCAAGTCAACGAACGTCCTCTAAGCGTGGAATTGGAAATCCCTGCACCTGCATGACTGCTGCCGGTGCATGAACATGCGCATGAGCGCAGCCGAGCTGTTCGCGCATTCGTGATTCGTGTTTGCAATCTACGCTAAGCAATTCCCATGGGAGCTTGTGTCTCGGCATACAACACAGCTTCTGAAAGGGGGTCCGGTGTGCAACGCTGCATCAATCGTTTATTGATGAGCTTTTCAATTCTTACGTGCGCTAAGTCGGAGTCTTGATTTCAGAATGAGTCGAGTGGGTGGGTGTGGCGAGTGAAGGCTTTGAACTCAGACTCGAGAGAGTCGAGGCTGAATGCGGTCGGTCGGCAGCCATGCCCAGCTCACGACGGTCAAGTCGCTTTGCCAGCTACTCTGCAGCTGCAGCGTGCCCAACCCTGAATGGGGATCTGGGATATCGTAAGCGATGGAACGATCCGAAGTCGGCTGTTCATCTGTACGCAACCGCGATAGCCACCGCCCGTGATTTGCAATCTCGGAGCCAACAGACATTAGCGGTGCAGTGTGTGTTCCGAAAAAGCATGCAAGCTGCAGGCAGAGAGGAAACAAGCATCTCTGCCACAAACTCATCCGCAAATTGATCGATCTGTGGTCATCACTTCCGGCCGGTCCGATACGAGGACTTTGTCAGGCTGGTGCATCTGCGCGGACCCGAAGCTTGGACGAAATTCGCACTTAGGTTTCACATTTATGCGATCGCTTGACGTGACAGAGTGATTCAGCTCGCTGATTTACTCGTGAATAATCGTGAAGGCATGGTATACGCCGGTAGAAGAGTCACGAGAGGAAGAGCTCTGCATGTATCGTCGTCAGCTGTTTCAGGCCTCCCTTGCAAAAATTGCATTGCATTGCAGCGCTCTCGATAACTGACGACTTCCCAGCTGTGGTTCAGCAAGATGGAATCATCGATCGAGTCGCGTCCAACGTCAGAATCGACATCTCTTCCCACGGTCTGCTTAGCCTGAAGAGGGACATGTCCGGAAGCGGGTGCGGGAGCCCAACGCCCTTAGCGCACATCTAATCTCGAGTGATTTGCAATTTCTGGTCTGCCTGGCTGGCGAGCTGAGTGTGCTATGTCGGAGGGAAGCTTGCGGGATTCGAATTATAGCAGTGAAACAAATCTGACTCGAGATCAATCAAGACGATCCCATGGGTGGTGAAGGACGGAAGAACAGTCAGTACGCAGAGAAATCGCGTGACAAGTCAGGGCGAGAAGGTTGTTGCATGCAGGTTTCATTCAGCTCGACGAGGGCAAAAGCGACTTCACATGCAGTCTTCGCTCGAAGTGAGGCTGGTCTTTAAGCGAGGGCTCTGATTGCTGATTGTTGATTGCTATTTGCTGATGCCCTGTCTGCTCGGTGATATTCTTTCGCGGCCGTTCATTTGCCAGGTGT